GGTCCTTGGACAGGTACATCATGGTCGGGAAGGTGGAGGGACAGCGCAGGAGGGGAAGGCCCTCTATAAGGCAAATTGATTCAGTGACTGGGGTAATTGGGATGGGTGTGTCAGAGACAGTGGATTGGCACAGGACAGAGCAGAGTTTAGGGCTTTTGTACATAGGATCACTATGAGTCACAAGCGACTCGATGGCACATAACAACAACAACCCCAAATGCCAACAATCACTGTTTCCATTTCCATGAATGCAAAAATCATCTATTAGCGAAACGAGTATATCTCACTGAAGATTTAGATTACGTTTAGCATTTTTCAGAAATTATGTATTTTTTGACATAATGTTTTCTTTATATACAATGAGATTTTTAGGACTCACTGCTTGCTATTGCTTGCCTAAAAGATGGCAGTAGAGGGTAAATATAACTTTAATATGTTATGAGAAACCAAAAATTTCATGTCCCTTGCTTTATTGCAACATTCTTTTCTCTGTCATAGCCTGATATTAAATCCTCAATGTATGTGAGGTATGCTTTTATCAATTTTAGCAGTGTTGATATATCTATTAAATATTTCTGATAATATAATACTTATTCTAACTGGCATAAGGGAATTTTGGTGGTTTGATAGTCAAGAGTTACACTGTTAACCCATAGGCATGTTCTGTGGAAAACAGGCAGGCAACCTCTTCCTATCACCTCTGAAAACCCAGTGCAAAATCAGCTACAAGGTGATTCCAACTTAATGGTACAAAACAGTAACCTGATATAATTTATTAGAACAAGAACTAAGGTCTGCTTAAATGAAACAAAGACCTACTTGGCTTGTCTTTATCTGTGATAGAACTAAAGAAGCCAATAGCTTTTATTTTTTTTTAAATATATTAACTTCAGAAGGCTTCACATCGATTGACTTCTTCAGATGAAATCATGAACATTAATGAGGTAAAGTATAATGTCTCTGATAAATATTTTTTTAGAGAATGATTGCATAATGTTATTAAAACCAAACTTCTACTACAGTCTAATTCCAACTATTCTCCATTATAAAATATGTAAGTTTGTTTTTATATACAGTATTAATTTTAAAACTTTTCTTATAGGTGGCTTTTAAGAACAGTTTAATGTATTTTCTCAAATCTGTCAAAGAGGCTACTAAAAAAGCTTTAACTAAATTTCCAAACAAAAGGAAAATTCCAATTTAAAATACTGTTTTATTTTAAAAGAAAAAGCATTCATCAACTTAGTTATTTTTCTTCAAAACAGAAACATCTATTTTTTAGTTGACTAATAATTTAATCTCTTATATCATCTTTCTAAAACTTAAAAGTACTTCATAGAAGCAAAAGAGTATGTGCTGTGTAGTAAGTGTACTTTAACTTCTGTGAAGATTTACAGCCTCAGAAACCCAAAGGAAGTCACAACGAATAGGAATCATATTAACAGTTATGAGTGAGTGAGTGAGTGAGTGAGTGAGTGAGTGAGTGAGTGAGTGAGCTTTAAAAGAAAGTTAACATGTTGGAATCTACTTAAGTTCTTTATTATCATTTCAAATAAAACATATTCCTTTCTAAAATATTTCATTCCTAACGTAAAAAGAGAAGATATCTTCCGCCCTAGTATATTAATTTTTCCAATGAAATGTTGCAATAAATTATATTGTTTGCCTAGTGATGACAGTTTCAGAATTTATTTGCATACATCATATATCACTGTGGGAATTATGGTCCCTAAGAAGAGCCTCCAAGCATCCAAGCAATTCTTCTAGTGCTAGTAATTTATGGATGGCAAATATGTAATATAAAACAGTGATTTCACAGCCACACAATCATTGCTAAAATGCAAGAGTAATGTTCTATCTAACTAGTTCAATGATAAAAATTCTTCAATATGTTCAACAATGATGCCATGGATATACAGTACCCTTAAAGAGAAAATACAAAAATGTAGATGAACTCTATCTCAGATCAACCAGTATTCTTGATATGCTTTAATAGTCAACTTCCAGAAAATATCATTTTTTAATAATAACTAAGTCATTTCAATTATGAGCTGGTTCATAATTTCAGGCCCTGGTGAACCTCCTAGAAAAAGAGCTATAAAAGATAAGTTTACAAGAACAAATAATATGGAAAATCTAAGCACTGGTCAGCTTCCATGAGGTTGCAAATAACCTCAATTCTTTAAATCTTATATATTTGGGTTATAAAGGGTATATTTAATAAACTTATGAGGAATAGAAAGCTCTTTTGGATAATAACATATTATGAACTTGAATCATATGTCTTAAAAAGCAGTGCAGATATTTGCAACCATTTTTATAAGTTTCCCCACTGGCTCCTTTTTAAAAACTAAGTTTCTACTTTGAGTGTAATAATATCCAGTACATAGTGCCAAGTTTTCCTTATGCAATTAGAGGCCAATATGAAAAGTAACAGAATGCAATTTACTGTGAGGGGTTTTTAATGAACATATATGTTACCAAATTTTCTAACAAATGAACAATGTACTTTTGCTGCTCCACTCTTTATTATCATCAGAGGGAACCACTGGCTTTTTAATAGATAATAGCCTCTTGTAAGCTTTATAAAATTCTAGTTTTATAGCAATTGTCCATGAACGCATCTTATAGATCATCTGCAAAGCCTGTCAGAAAACTAATGTACTGCTTAGACCTGCCAAATGTTTCATTTTTCTACAAACTCTATCTAAAGTACGTAATGCATTCATTCTAATGAGAATTTCTGAAAGCTGCTAATGCCCAAATAAGACCCTCTTTTCAAACCTAATATGCATCACTCCAGTAGAGAAATGACTAACAATTTGGATTAAAAATTATTGCTTTAAAATGATTCTAAGAGTGTGTGATCAAATGGTAAATGATTTTTCAGAGTTCTGCTAAATGCATTACCTAATTAGCCTGTTATATGCTCAAGCTGTAACATGAATTATGACTTGAGATTTTACATTATCTTAGGATTTTTGTTTCAGTAAGAATCATTATCCTATATGCATAGACTTGATTACTTTACCTGACATTATACAGGCACTTTTCTCCATAGCTGAATTTAAAGGGCTGCTCTTGACTGCAGGCAGAGCCAAGTTCTGAACATGGGCTATGGGGCTCTTTCTTGATTTTCAGTGGTAAGCCATGAAAAGCCACTAGAAAGGGGAAAAAAATTAACCACATATATTACATGTCATTAAATATTAAGAAACACTGTTCTCATCTAAATTTCTGGATTAAAATGTAACAGCATATTTAACAAAAATATGCATATATGACAAAATTGCATTAGCTGGATTTCAATGGAAGATAACTGTTTCTATGATAAATGACTATAGTTATAGAAAGGCTTCCTTTTGATCATAGGGTCACTATGAGTCATGCTCGACTCAAAGGCAATCAACAACAACAACATCATAGTGTAACAAACTGTTCTTAAACATTTTATCACTACTTAAAGTAAAATTAATCATTTGAAAACATAATTTGCTTATTTTAACAATGCAAGACTCTCACTTTTCACTAAATTTTTAGAACACTTCAGAAAGATTTATAATGACCAGCAGAAAAATGTAACTGATTCATGAATTAACTTAAACCTTCTATATAATTTTAGGCATTATTGAGAGGAAAACATCCCCAGTGCATCAATGATAATGGTTTCATGGTATGACAACTGTGGCAGGAGCAAGAAAACAAAATTATATCCATGCAGTAGTACCTAATGATACTTTGCTGAAAACTCAACATATCCAAGCATGATGTTCATCTCTAGACATAAATGCACATCTCTGTTACCAGAAGTGAGAGGATAAAATATGACAAGTGTATGAAATTTATTTGTAAGAGGTAATCTACCATAAAATAATTAATAATTACTCCATGTGGAATATTGTCTTCTTTCTCATTGTCTAATATGTGATTGTTTATAGTGTTGATTTAAATTTATTCAATACTTTATACCATGGTTATATAAAAAATACAAGAACAGAAAAAATATGTCTATTTATAGTAAATCCTTAGCTTTAAGACCAATAAATAACATCTTATTATATATTTTATTCTTCTGTATGAATGGCTGGATAATCTCTTCCCGTGAAATTAACTGCCTCTGAAAACTCGAGGGAGGGTCATCTATGGACTGGTTCTGACTCTACGGTACACAACAACGACAACAATATGAATGAGAGGAGGGGCAATCTCCTCCTAAAAGATTTACTGCCTCTGAAACCCTGCTGGAGGATCAACTATAGGTCAATTCTGACTCAATGGTACTCAACAAAAATATCAACAACATATGAAACATATATTATATAGTAGTTGAATAAGTGTTAATATAAACAGAGAATTGATGAAAACTAAGCTAAAGGGAAAAGAGACATAAACAAATTTTTGTTTTCATATATAATATGCACAAGTGTGACTATCCAAATAACAAGCACAGGTAAGACCCAAGCTCTGACTACTAGTTCTCTCTCCTATAAACGTTGGACTAAATGTAAAATGTTATAAAACCTGTATAATGAGAAAGATTTAAAGGATTATGAAGGTATTCAATTTTATGGTATTATAGAATTACAATCTTGTATTACTTATATGTCACATATAATTTTAGATACAAACCAGGTATTATTTTAAAATTATGTAATAATTAATCTAAGCACATAATTTGGATAGATGTAGTCAATGGTACTCTAAAGCAATCAGAAACATTTTAGAAAAGAAATCTGTCAAAGAAACAAATGAATTGCACTTAAATGCTTCCAAGAAAAACTGGTCAGTTGAGTGGTGCAAAGTACTCAGCTTCTAGCTGAAACAATGATGGTTCAAACCCATCAAAAAAAACACTGGGACACAAGAGTGGCAAATACTTCTAAAAGGCCACTGCCTTGAAAATCCTAGAATCTTTTCACTCCACATATATGACATCACCACAAGTCAGGATCAACTACACAACTACTAACAAAAACTCCATAATAATGAAATAATCATACTGAGTGGTCTAGTTGAAGTATCTTAATGGATATAATGTTGCTTATGTATATGTATACATTTGCTTGTTGTTGTTAAACAAGACCAAGTAAAAAATGACCCTCCAGCAGATTTTCAAAAGCAGTAAATTGCACAGGAGGAGGAGGAGACTGACCATCTAATCATCACAGAGCAGCTGGTTGATTCAAATCCCAAATCTTTGGGATTGCAGCATGGTTTCTTACCACTAGGCTACTCGAACTCCCTGCACACATCTTTAGTATGATACAATCAAGAGAGAGTGAAGAGGAATAGGAACAAATGCAGAGTAAGAAGAAACTTTCTGATACATGTTCATATGTCAAAGTGCATTCATTTTTCCAGGTCAAAAAGTTGTTAACTCATTAACCATTTAAATAGAGAGGATGAGAAAAGTAACACAAGGATCAATTAATTAATAGTAACATGAGAACTTACTTGGATCCCTATTTGAATACCACACATGGAAAAACAATTTTGAGATCAATAAAACAGTTTTAAGTTTTATTGACTATGATAATAGTATTGTGGTTGTAGGGGAAAAAAACCCCAAAACAAAACCCAACAACAACAACAAAAAAAAACGAAAACAAACATAAAACCCTCCAAAGTCTCACTGTAAAAAGTTTACAGATGTACAGATAAATAATATGTGTAAAATTGTCTTCAGTCTAGTAATAAAAAAAATTGTCAGTGGATAGAAGGTTCAGTATAGCTATAGCAGCAATTTACTTGCTTATCCTTACTTTTATGTAAGCTCTGATTTTCTACAATAAAAATTTTTAAATGTGATAAAAAGGGCATAAAATGGATAAAATTTTCTACATATACATGTATGAGTGTGTATATGTGTGCCACATATTTTCTACTTCTTCAAATAAAAATACTGCATGCTATAATATACACCTTTGTAATATATTACTTGTATAGTTAATCTATGGTTTTTCCTTTTTGTTATTTCTTTGACTATATACATTAAAATGTACATACTCAACTTTTAGCATTTTGAATTAAGTATTAAGATATTAAATTT